TCAGGGAGGGCAGAACTGAACCCATAGTTTAAGCAGCTCGCTCTCATTTTAATTTCACAGGTTTAGCACGGCTGGTGTAATTCACATGTAAAACCACAGCAGTCATCCAAATCTTTGCTGCCTGGACACTGGCTGGCTGCATTTCTGGAAATTCACGGTCATAACATATACCTATTTTTTGAGTTTCCATTAGGAACTGGTTCTGTCAGGCATGATCGCATTCACAAGAGCTCAGGAGGCAGGAAATTTTGAAAGTGTTTATGAGACTGGGCATAAATCACAGCTCTCAGGTTTTTCTCCCTTCTTCAATTAAAAAAATACATTCAGAGCAATCATTCCCCACATCTACTCCCCCCATCTCCCTCCAGAAATGATGAATCCCACTCTAGCTGTAAATTGGATCCCAGGTGTACCCATATATATTATACATATATAACAGCTACTTATGGGCATAAGGGCCCTTGCACAGTTACTGTGGAAACCAAGGTATCAAATTTCCTGGCTCTTAAGACTCTACGTTCTCAACCCTAATATGCATTTACCTTGAATAAACCACTTCTGCACTCTCCAGCCCAGAAACATCCCTTAGTAGACTGGGTTTGGGTTCATCTTTAGGAGGCTCCCCCCAATCCGCTCTCAACATCCCAGGAACACAGGGTTGCCTCCAATCCCGCACAATCCACGTGTGGGAGCAGAGTACAGGAGGAAAGCATCCTTCTGCAGGCAGAGGCTGACCTGCTCCTGCACAGCACAGCTCCAAGGGGCACCAACTGCTCCTGGGGCAACCACTGCAGGTACTGCTGGCAGAGAAACCTCCTGGAGCTCCTCCCGCTGCCTGGACAGCATCGGGGCACTGCTTACTCTCACAGGAGCTCGTGACAACTAAAGACCGAACTTGGCTCTGTAAGAAAGGGGAATCATTTACCAACTACTGAAACACAGCCCAGTCTGGATGGGGATGCAGCAGCGTGGAGCAGCACAAGACACGATGCAGTGTCTTGAGGACAGTGTCATCACATCCTGCTAAAGCTCCGGAGGGACAATGTGACACTTCAACATAAATTTCTTCCAGTTCTGGCTGTGACCACACAAGAACCCGAAGATACTTCAATGCGAAGTGCAAATTCAGCCCAGATGTAACCTCAGGGACTTCAGCAGAGCTCACTGTAAGGCTGAGCCTGACTCACCTCGTCTACGCGTAAGCACAGCTCAGAAATTCTCCCTGGGTAACTGTGAGAGGATCTGCTGCATACACACAGCTTGTCACAGGGATGCCGATGCTGTCCTGTAAAAGGCACCTCAGCATCCAGCACAGCATTAAAAACATTCACAACAGCCCAGCAGGACACCGAGGGGTTCTCGTGAGGGCAGTGGCTTTTGGGGTCTCTAGGGATGCTGTGTATGGTGCAACTTCCAGTCTGCTCCCCAAGCCGTCTGCTAAAATTCACAGCAAGCAGCAGGAGAACTGCTCTCACCTCATTCATGTTTCAGGATCTTTTTTTTTATTATTATGTTTGGCATTTTTAAGGCACCCCTCCCAGCACAGTAACTAGGTGCTTACACAAACTACCAGGAAGACAGGAGTCTGTTGATCCCTCAATCAAAAAGTACTTTTGTACTTACAAATCTGGAAAAATACCATTGTCAATCATACGGCCTTCCTATCACATACTGGCTATGCACACAAACCAAAAGGTTCATAAGCTGAAACATGAAAGGCATCATCAATATACAACAAAGTGACTTGTTACAATCTTGTCACCCTCCCCAGCGCACACAGGCAGGGCCTCTTCCTGTAACAAGCCAAGCAAAAACAAGACCTGGCTCAAATGGGATGTCAAAAACGTCAAACTGTACTTACTTAACCTTTGCACTTCTGAAACAGCAAAGATCCTGTGAAAATGAAATTATTACAATTCTTTCCTTGTTATCTCTCAGGAACATAGGAAGGAAAGTTTGTACACTGCTACTCTCAAAAATTTTCCTAAAATAAAACAATGCAGCTCAGCTATTTTCCTTCCTCGCCATCTTCTAGTTTCTTGAAGAATCCCTCTCTGTCTTGTCTTCCTGGCTGGCAGGTTGTGCTATTTGTAAAGGATCCTTTTTCTCCTCTTACCTCGTACTGCCCACATCCCACTCTGTTCCACCTCTCAGCGCTCGTCCCTTGGCTAAGCTTAGCAGGACTTTCTCTGCAGATCATAATCACTGCTCTGAGATTAGCTGGAGTTAGGTGTTGCAGACAGATGCACAGCCCTTCCTCTTCCACACCCAAACTCCCCGCCAAGCTCTGGCTTAGGAGTATCATACCGGATCTTGAAATCAAACTCCGGGGTCTTGCATGATAAATCAGAACAATTGCTGGGGCTTGGCTGTACCTCCTTTACTTATGGCAAGTCTGGGGTGGTTAACTTGCCTGACGATTTGACAGCGCTTCACCTATAGAATAAATGTTACTGTATTAGCAATCATTGACAATAAATGTGCTTGTTTTGATGGGAAACAGGAGTAGGTCCTTGAAAAGCACCTACTGTCTCAGGAAAAACTTCCCTGCAACTCTGTTGGCATCCTCATGAACGCTGAGATTTTCCCAGCTAGAGCACCCACCCAAAGAGAGCTGGCCTGGGGCTGCTCCGACCCTTGAAGAGCCAAATATGAAGTAAATAAGAAGTTCAAACTCTCTGCCCTTTATTGCTTCCTTATGATACTTACTGAACCCTCCCGACATTAATACATCGTTTCTCCTCTGCACCCCACGCCACACAGTCACTAGAAATATTCGGGTCTGCCTTCCCCCTGTTTTGCTGGAGGATTCTCTGAAGGACTGAAAGTTGAATAGCGGTATCACAATAGGCTGAAGCCGGAGGTTCAGTTTTCCAGCCCTTAGACAGTCTCAATGCCCCTCTCTAACTCAGTTGGAAAGCTGCAGCTCAAATTTCAGCCTATGTTAAGTCACTGTTCAGCTCTGCTCCTTCAGCAAAAGAGAGGGAAGGCAGGAGAGCCTTTTTCTAAAGTAAAAAACTGGGAGGGGGGAGAAGGGCGGGGGAAGGAAGCAAAAACACATGGAGATCGTTTTTTGTGCATCAGAAGGAGCAATGAAAGGAGCAGGCAACTTTTCAAACATGCCAGAATAGCTTAGTGTGATTTGTAACTAAGAGGAGGGTTGAATAAACAGTTCCAACAACAAACATCAAACTTTTCTGGGGGGAGGAGACAATTAAGGCAGCAATGACCTGCACGGAGACCCTACTACCACCTTTCTGACTTCTGCAGAGGATGCAGGCAACTGTATCATTTTGTATCACAGAACCATCGATGTGAACTTCTGACACCAGCATCTCATTAAGGGGAAACAAAGACTTAACATGGGCTTCAACGTCAGCACGCTGCTGCCCCATATCACAACCTACAAATGTAACATCCCAGCCAGTCCCCCAATGCTGATCTCAGCTACAGAAAGTGCCTGACCCCACATACCACGCTGGCATTCATCCATCTTCCTAAACATGCTCAGAATTGGCTGCAACCCACTTGCACAAGAGCAAGGACAGGAGACACAAGCCCAGAATGGCAAGGAGATGAGGGATGCCTCCCTCATTTTTTTTTAGACAAATTAAGAGTATCCCCTCTTACCCCGCCAGATAGAGCTCAAGGAATCAAAACTCCATTCCTAATTAATACATCATTAGGTCCCACCAGCCAGGGAGTTGCCTCCCAAGAGGGGAGCCTGGGCCAGCCTAGATGATGAATGAGATCTCAAACAGCTGAACTGTTTCAAAGGCTAAACTGGCAATTGCAAGGACAAGCAGGTTTGGAAAGGCATGTAGAAAAAAACAAAATATCCAGTACAGTTACAATGGTTTTTTTTTTTCTGTTTAGCACTGAGACCTGCACTATGTTATTGCTGCAGCGCTTTTCCTCCAGTCAAGCGCTCCGCAAAGCCTGTAGCTACAGGAGCAGCTCCTCCTCTCCTGAAATGCAGCCACTTCTCAGGTAAAAACTTCGTAACTGCAGATCACTGGAGGGAAATCCATTCTGCCAGCTTAACCCCAGCATACTTTCATGAGTAAATGAAATTGATCTACTACACTTGGGACATTTACACAAGAGTAGCCCTCTTGGATGGTTGAGGTCTCCTTACTGCAGAGTTCTTGCACACCAGGTACAGCAGTTTCATTTGCTTGCATGACTATTAAAAACACTGAGGAGAAAGGGTCTGGCATTTGCAAAGATCTGTATTTTGATCATTCCTTGACACAGCAGAATAGGATCAACACATCCACTGCAATGATACCCACTTTTGTTGCAACAGACCTCCCAAACAGACATGCCACGCAACGTAATTTCTCTGTCTGCTGGCACCATTCCACACCGTTAAGCTCTCGCTGTCCCTTCAGCCACAAATGCCCCAGCAGAGGCAGCAAGCTCCGCTCTATTATTGGAAGACTCGGTGGAGCACATCCCCCACAAGCCAACCACCTCCCCCTTTCAACTGAGCAAAGCGAGTATTAAAACCCAGCAACTGTCTCCCGTTCAAACCAGATGGCATAAATAGCTGGAGAGCTATCAAACAAAGTATACATTCAACACTTCAGCATAACATGAATGCCCCGTTAAGCAAGTGTGTGCATACATATACACCCATGCTCAGGGACCAATGCAACAGCAGAAAGTGCTCGATTAACTCCTCTAGTGGCTTAAGTGTCTATCGACACTCAGGACATTCACACAGCATGAGCACTGGCCAAACTTCCGTGGCTTGTGCAGTCCTTGAGCTCTCCTGAAGCTATAAATTGCAGCAGGCTGCTATTATAAACAAGGAAAGCTGGAGACTGGCAAGTTGATTAAGACCATCACTTTGTGTCACGTCTAACTCATTTACAGCTGCCTTGAGTAAAAGAAAAAGCCACCAGAAAGCCTACGCTCTAACGACACTAAAACAAAAGTGCAATTCCCTGCCCTGTCCAGCTAGGGACATGCATGGAGCTCTCCAGCTCACTCACCTCGTCCATTTTTTCTGATGTTGGAGTCTGGTCACCAGGCACCATTTCTTTAGCGTCTGAGGTCTCAACTTTGGAGGTCCTGCTCAGCTGATCAATGGGAGTCATGCTGGCCTCCGACGTCCCGCGGGAATTCTGACTCAGAGAAGCTGTCCCAGGGATGGGCTCATCATCGTCAGAGTCAGGTAATGGCGTCGGGCTAATGTCCTCCAAACCTGTGCTGGAAGGGCGTGAGGAAGGCGTCTGACCTCTGTAACCTGGCTGAGAGTTTGAACCGTACATTGGGATGGGAGAGAGCTGGGACGAAGAAGAGGAAATAGGGCTACCTTCCATTCGGATCTCGTTATCCGAGTCATGCTCGTTAAGAAAGGGTAACTTTGTTCTCTGCTCTTTTAAGAGCATCTCAATCCTTGAGTCTAAACTGTTATGCTGCATTTCAGACTCCATGGTGGGGGTGCCAGGGGTCTCGCTTCTCTCTGGAGTCTGAGAGAAGGATGCTGTGCTCGGTTCAGGAACAGAGTTCGAATCGGGCAAGGGTGGAGGTTCCTCCTGCTTCTCCTTCACTGGGACAAAATCGATGTTGGTGGCAGCGCTGCTTTCCACAACCATCTCAGTGGGAGGTGGCGCAGGTCTTCGGTACTCTGTTTCCCTGGAAGTTTGGGGAAACTGCTGCTCATCAGACTGGGGAAATACAGCTGGTGCTTGGTAGGGAGAGAAAGCAGATTTGTAGCTCGAAGAACTAGAGTGGCTCAGGGGAGGAGTGTGAGAGAACTGAACTGGCTCTTGCTGATGGGATTTGTATGTACTAAACTGATGCTCCGTCCCTCGGTAAACACCTGCCGAGTTATGAACATAGTGATGTCCCGGTCGACGGTTGTAGGCATCTGTAAATTTTGTTTCATGTCTCCTGGGTTTGTACCCACTGTCCTGCCCAAAATGGTACACAGGTGTTGTCTGACGGCTAGAATAGCTGGAATCTTGGGAAAATGGTGTCCCTAACCGTGGGGTGTGAGGTGTTCCTTGGGACTGTGGGGTAAATTGGCTGTATGAGTTTGGGGTGTCTTGCCGACAGCTGGAATAGGCCGTGTCATGGGAAAACGGCGTGCTACTGTTCGGGGTAACAGATGATCCCGCAGAAGAAAGGTTACTGTCTTTCAGGCGCTTCAGGGAATCCGTCAACTACAAAAACAGAAGAGAGAAAAGCACCTAAACACACACCTTAAAAAATATATTTGTCTAATCCACTTGGTTTTCAGAGGAGTTGAGTACCCAGTAGCATGCACTGATTTCCATGGCAAAAAAAAATAGGTTACAGCATCCCTGAAAACACAAACCATTATCCATTATTAACAGTTCCCTTTGATTTAAAAGAAAAAGGCAAGCAAAAAGGAACTTGTCTATTAGAAGAGGAAGAAGAAAGCAGATATAACAGTATTCCTTCTAAGCTATTCCCAAGAGCATCAGGTGAACAGGAGACTTGCACAATACTTTTAACTAAGAGCTCAATTTCTATCAACTACGTAAGGCTTGCCTAAATTGCGAATAGGAAAGAAAATTAAGAAAACTCCAAGATACGAAGTTCCCAATTTTTTTTGTGAACAAACCAAAACATACACATCAGCAAACTGCCAGCCTGCAACCAAACCTATGCAGCAGGGCTTTGTGTTGGTCCAGCTGAGGGAGCTGACCTACCACCCTCTCTACCAAACATTCATCTGTAACAATAAGGGAGAAGACTACAGGTATAAAAGGCACAAAAAGTTCTCAACTGCCAGAAACACCTTTTTAAACCCCTTCCCAAAGACAAACGCTCAGGTAGAGCGCTACTGATTATGGCATTTGAAACTGAAACCCTACAAGTCTACAGAGCAGCCAAGTAATTGCTCTGCACCTCACTTCACAGGCACATTCAGGGGGTTTCTAGGAGCAACCCTGTTCCAATTCAGACTCTGCTGAGTCATAACAGTGCCACACTAATCATCAGCGCCAGAATCAATTTTCCATAATGCAAAGCAAGAGCTCAGTGAGCATCCTCCTGGTAGCAAGAGAGGCAGGACGGAGCTCCAACACCCCAGAAGCACACCAGGATAGCAAACTGGTGAGACTACAGGCTGGCTGCTCCTCTCCCAAATACAGGCAGGTAGAGAGACCCTTAAAATGACCTGCTTGTAACATGCCAGCACCATCAAACTCAAGCTGAGCTCTCACCTGCCTGCTACACTCACACACCTCTCACCCACTCAATAGTGTGGATTTGTTCTTGGTGTGACCCCCTAGAGACCATGGCCACATAGACATCAGGAAAGTTTCTTCCTCAACTGTTCTAAAACCCATAGAAAGGGTCGGGAACCAGCCATGTGCTTCCTGCTAAAATCAACACCTCTGCACCTTTGGAGTAGATGTGATGTGGACTGTTTTTCAGTGGGGTTTGGATATGGTCTGGAGGCAGGGATTGTGGCTCACAGAACTGTCAGGTCTTTGCTGCTCTGCATGAGGGGGAAGGCAAATGCCAGGGGTATTTTACTAAACTACAACAGCAAACAAGAAACAAGTTTGTTGGTAGATTCTAGTGACAAGAACATGATGCAAACAGTTAAAGTTATCCACAAAGCAATAATTTCAGTGGCAACTGGGGGAAAAAAATCATTTCAAGATAATAATATAATGCATGAACACAATATCTAGAGAAACAATCTTAAAGATAATTACAGCAGGGACTACTTTCGGGGATACCATCAATTAAGTTTTTTGCCGTTAACCCTGACAAAGGAGTAAGAACTAATCTGTCCATTTTTATTTGAGATGTGTAACCAGCAGAAATGAAAAGCCATGCCCTGCTCATAGCAGGGCTCCCAACAAAATCATTACTTGCCTCCCTCCAAGCGTTTAAAAACACCTTCCTGGGAGGTAAGGAAGAATTGGCCTCTCTATGATTTTGTTAAAAGGATACTGAAGTTTTGCCTTGTTGCTATTGGAGTGGTTGGTGGGAGAAGAAGAGAATTTTATTTTTTCAGATCAATGGGATTTTCATGTTCAACGTACTGCTCTTACCTGTCCTGAAAACATCTGATCACAGAATTAATGAAAAGATGGCATTTTAAGAAGTCATAAGAGTGCAGAGAAGTAGAGAGAAGGACAAAAAAAGAAATCTCTGCCAAATCTCTTTCAAATTTGATGCCTTAAAGTGGGTTCCTAAGCCACAATCAGGAGCCAAAGTACATTTAGACAAGCCAAGGGGGCTGACAACTTCACACAAACAGGCTTCACTTCCCTCTTGTCCTCGCATCCCAGCGGGGTTCGCAGGGCAGCAGGTAACTGTACAAAGCCATTTAAAGAATCGTACGTTAAATATCGAGGGACCCCCGGAAGCCCTCAGGAATTCTGTCCACTGCTTCTATTAACAACTGATTCTAGTGACTAATTAAGATTCTAGAAAATTGATGCCACTATTCAAGATCAGACACCTTCCATCTTTTAGCCTTTAAACAAGGCTGAAGAACGTACACGCTAAGGATTACATACTGCAGACGTTAGGCCAAATGTACCATTGTAAATCATTCTCCCTGACTTCAAGGGAGTAATCTCATCTCAGGGACAGATCTGATCCAGTCCTAACTGCAGGAATTTCTACTGCTAACAGGGCACATACTGTTGGTTCTGTAGGCATTTCTCAGTCAGAAAGACAAAAAGCACTTACCATGCCATGCAGACACCGGCATACAGATTAGCCACATGCACTGCATTCGCAGAGAGTTACATTTGCTATGGCAATTATGAGCAAATTATGTTTAAATGTGTATTAGTGACATCCACTGAAACTATGGCCTGACCAAAAAAAAGGCAGCTAAATTAAAAGTGTTAAAACGCTAATGTTAATGATGCATTTGTTTGGAATTTTCTAGAAAGTTATTCTTAAAAAAAAAGGAAAGCAAACATACCTGGAGAGTTTCATTCACAGTTGGCGATACATCCTGTTCGGTGCCTACAGGAAGGGTCTGAGGAGTGTAAAGACCATTAACAAGCAGTTCATAGAATCGCATGCGGGTTTCACCTGCACGGACCACAATGGAAGAGTTGATTAAACATAAATAACACAATCTATGTAAAAATACATATTCTTGACACTCGCACAACCCTGCTACCGCTCCCAGCCCACTGCGTCCGTGGAACAGAGGAGCAGGTATCACCTCTGAGGCTCACAGGGATCATTTTTAAACAATCTGCTCGGCAAGTGAAGTCAGACACCCCATCCTCCAGCCAAGTTAAGGAGGTTTCTAAATCCTTTTTCCTCTTCTCAGCCTGCTTGGCAGCTCTGCTCTTTACCATGCTTTCTGGAGAGCAGCAGTTTCCCTCCTTTCCAAAGTGCCAAGCAAATAGCTTGCAGATATGAGAAGTGAAACTCTCACCCAAGGGACAAGCCTCTGCCAACACCCAGAGCCACTTCAGAAAGCTCTCTCAACACACCTTGCTAGTAGAAACTGGCTGTTATTAATGCAAACACAATGCATGGGAATGCCGAGGACAAAACCGTTAACACGGACTAATCCTTCCCTCTGCCCCCCAAGTTTAAGGTGTGCTCAGTGGCATCCTTCAAAGAACAAAAGCCATAGAAGCAAACTGTCCCATCTATTGTCACAGACCTTAGCCTTCTCATCCCTAAATTCTACAAAGACCCAGTTTCTTAATATTGGATTTTTCATTACTACAAAACCACAATCCTACTTATTTCACAGTCCATACAAAATCTGTCATCAGCTTCAAAGACAACAGAATCAGACCCCAAAACTGTCTGAATTTTGCTCTGAAAGATAAAGAATACACAGAAAAATGGACAGACCCAGCACCTGAGACCAAAAAATTAAGTCAGGCAAGATCTCCCCCAAAACTACTTTCATGAGGAAATCTTGCAGGATCAAACTCCAAACTCCCTGTGAATCACTGTGCAATTTGAAAGCAAAGCACCCCTTAGCATGATTCTGTGTACTAGAAAAGACTCGTTTATCTTGAATAAATGCTGCAGATGAGGTTATTTGGTTATCAAATCTCATTTCACAAAGTCTTGAGCCACATCCTCAACTACATGAACTGTTTTAGTTCAACTAAAGTCATGACAAAATAGATCTCTTCACTACAAGAGCTTGAAGAGATGCTTGAAATATTAACACACACCGCCCCCACATAAGACTACAATGCCGTGGATATGGAAGTGTTAGGCTTACTTTAAAACTTGTTTTTAAATAAATACAGAGTAATTGTTAGAAAGTTTCATAATTCCTCCTGGATCCTCAATATAATGCAGTAAAAGTTACAATTTCATTTTCAAAGAGGTTTATGAATGTGAAATGATTCCTACCTATTTCTCTACGGACAGGTAATTATGAAGTGTGTCCATTCTGTAGATGGATAAACTGAGGCAAAGAAGTTGCTTTAAACTAGCCCGTCTTAGATAAGGAGACTGGATTTATTAGTTCCAGATTCCCAGGCCTGTGCTCTGGCCAGACATAAAACAACATTTTTGCTCCTAGTATTTATTTTGCTAGACTCTGAAAATCAAGTTTTTAACCAACTTTTCATTCTCTTGAAAAGCTGAATACAAGAAAGAAATGTTGGAAACTGTATGTATGTATTTTAAGAATGTCCTAACCTGCTAATGCTATTTCAGGAATAACATTTTTACTTGATTCTGACAGATTATAGCACACTGACAGTCTTACTCTTTTAGAATGACAGAGATGCAAGTGGGGTAAAAAAATACGTTAGAAGCGTACAGCTGGCAAACAAAACAAAAATGCAATCTGAAACTAAGACTTCAATGTTTTCTCCCAAGAAACAGAAGCATAAAATCCCCTCATTTCCCTGATGCGCAGCTAACTTTCTTGAACAGCTGCCTGTTCAAGACTTGCGGAGTAGTTTATAAACCGAGGAGGACAAGTAGGAATCGGTACAATCAGCTTGTTTAAAATGCCTCTCAATAAGACGTCCACCACTTATGAGCCTGTTTTAGCTTACATTATTAAACCTACAGATGGTTAATTTGTTCTTAAATGTAATTTTTACCTTCAAATTTCAAAGCAAACAGAAGAAGGAGCCTGCCTGTAAAAATTAATGATACTAGAATTTCAAAGTATACATATGTAAGGTCAAGCTTTGCTCACAATAGGAAACATTACACTACTACTGTGATTTTTCTTCCAACAGTGATCAGTAATGTCAATAAACCTCCTACTATACCCTCTTACCACATGTGGCACACCAACTGCTGTATAGCTTGTGCACTAAATTGTTGAAACCTTTTAATACAGTACAAAAATACCAACATTTTTAAGAAAATGGTGTTAACAATGTCCTCTTCCTAAGAAAGAGTGCAGCAAATCAGTTTTAAACTAGAAATGCCATGTTTGGAATGAAGTACAAGCAACAACTGATCTACACCTCCTCAGCTTTAGACATTTTCTAAAATTTGGGCACATTTTAGCAAAGCCCTTCACTAACACGCTTAGAGGCAAGAGAAAAGACAAAGCGGTGAAATGCAATGCTTTCATACTTCCAGAAACTTTACTGGGCTCCCTAGGGCTCGGCTCTGGGGCTGAGAGCGGGTCACCTCTAGGACTCGCCGCTCCTGTCGCTTTAAGAGACAGTCTCACACTTACACACTCGCATACACACTGACAAGTGCTGCATGTGCACTCTTTTGCTGCCAGCCTCGAGTTTGCTCCTAAGTATCAATGAAATGCCAGGCACGCAGAGGACAGCACCCAGCCCCGCTGCCACCGTCAGAATCCAGAGATTTGGGTTCCAGGAACCCCCAAGGTTTGCTCCAAAATGACAAGATTGCAAAAGCCAAGTGCCATGGAGTCCGGTAGCCCCGGGATGTGGCCGAGCCTGGGATATGGAGATGGGGGGCACGGGAGGTTTCGGAGGGCAGAGAGCAGGGGACGGGGCAGGGTACAGGCAGGGGACGGGCAGGATGGCAGCATTTTGCAAATTACAGGGCTGTCTCCTAGCAACAGACAACACATTTGGCTCCACGTGACTTGCAAAGGCCCCAGAAACCAGACCGGCTCGCAGGGGGACAGGAGCACCCCCTTCGTATTTTTTATCGCCAAGCCCTTGCGCTCTGCAACAGCCTCTCGTTTTAGGAGGGGCACGGGCAGGGGCACTGCAAACCACAAACGCGAGAGGTCGAAATGTACCCCTCTCACCTTTCGTATCCAGCTCCACGTGGATGATGTTGCCCATGACAGAGGTGTTGTGAAGGTGCTGGACAGCCTCCCGGGCACCCTTGACAGTGGCAAAGATCACTTTGGCGATGCCCAGGTGCTTCTTGTTCTTAGGGTTGTAGAGAATCTCCACCTCTTCCACTTCACCATATTTCTTGCACATGTCGGTCAAAAAGTTTTCACGAATGTTGTCGTTCAGCTTGGCAAAGGTGACCTGCTTGGGAGGCACTGGCCCCACGTAAAATTCATCAATCTGGAAACGGGCACAAGGTCGGGGAGCGATAAAAATAATTGTCATTGTTAACGAGCTGGGGGGGGCATAAGGATGGCACGGGAGGGAGAGGGTTAAAGCATCCTGCAAACTTTGGGGAAAGAAAACTGCCTCCGAGGCTCTGGGATGAACCCTGGAGCTGAGCAAAGTCTCTGCCGCTGCAGTCATTCATTGAAATCGGCTCCTTTCTGGGCTACAAATACGTATTTCGAGCAGTACTGTCAGCAGAGAGCCCCCCTCCGCCGCCCCCCACCAAAGAAGCCCCCAAGACCCAGCTCCAAAACCTTCAAGTGATCTCGTTAGACAGACGCATTGATTTCTCGTTATCTTTATAGAAGAGGATTATTGTTAAACAGTTTGCCAAATAATAATGTTAATAGGAATACGACTGTCATTTAAACGGTCCATTAAACTATTTGGAACTGAAGCTTCACTCCCAGATAAACAAGAATACAGAGCTAAACCCAAAAGCCAGGGTAGTACCTTGAATTTGGGGACAGACAGCTCCAACTCCTTAGTTTTGGTCCATATTCGCCCTATTCTGGGATCCCTGACACAATCCACAGGAGCGATTCCCGAGTTCTGGGAGGAGGAGGAGGAGGAGGAGGAGGAGGAGGAGGAGAGAAAGCACAAGAACAGCAATAACAAGGCTTGAAATTTAAGACACAAATAAAAGAAAAAATAAACCCCAAGGAAGCACGGGTTGTCTCAGGGAAAGGGAAAAGTGCACACACACACACACACATACACACACGTGTCAAATTGCAATACTGCTGGGAAATGCACACAGATTGGAAACACAGAAATAAAGCCGCAGGTTTGGGCTCCTTCTTGGGCTCCTGACAGTTGAATACACAGTGTCAGGTGGCGGCAACTTTGGTGGCTGTGTGTGTCCCCCCCAGACCCCTCTCCCACACACATGTGCTACGGTAGGGATTACCACGACCCGGAGGGACCCCCCCTGCCCCCAAAACGCCGGTAAAACGGAGACGGGGGCGGGGGGGCACAACACAATGGGGGAAACCCACGACCCCCCTACTCACAGGCATGCTGAAATGTTGCCCATCGTAACGGTAGAGTTTGTGCTGTCCTTTTTTCAGGGCCGGGTCAATAATCAACTTGTAACTTCTCCAATGGTGATTTCTTTTCTCGACTGAAGTGCTGGCTTGCGTGCTGTTCTCCATTCCGTTGATCCAACCTGGACGAGTAGGGGAGAGGAAGGGGGGGGAAAAAAAAAATCCACACACGGAAAACCATGAAGTTAAAAAAAAATATTCATCAAAGAAGACCTCTTCGTTTCGTT